GCCAAACTTTTTCTTATTATACTTCAAAAGGTATTTTCTTTGTAGCTGCTACATAGTTGTTGGTTTTTTTGTTGCTGTTATGTAAGCGGAGAAAATGAAACAACAGAAATTCATTTGCATAAGAAATAAATGAATTAATGAATGAATTGCTTAAAAGTAATTTAGCCGACAATTAAGAAAATCTTGTAAAAGTTTTTTTTTCTTAGAATACAACAAAAAAAAAAAACAAAAATTTTCGTGCAAACAAAAAAATGAAGAGTACAAGAATAGGCACTTTACAATTACTTTGCTGATTTAATTGTTTATAAAATCAGCAAAGTAAAGTTATAGTATTTGTTATTGTGTATTGGAAAAGAACTTTTTAAAATGTTATGAATCATTCTCTCTGGATAAGAATTAATTGAACATTTATAATTGCGGCAATTTTAGCTGCAGGAGTGTGTTTTGACTGGTTAATTTTACTGTGGTATTTGTCTACTTTCGATTTACCAAAACAAAATATTTTCCATTGAATTTCCTTCATTTTGATAGAAAAATTGCATAAATTTCATTAAAATTGACCTGTAAGTACCTAAGAGTTTCTTAGATTTATTAACAATATGAATACCCAATTCCAAAAATTCTGGTAAACTTCCGAATGAACCTAATTGGTGCACGCGTTTAAACAAGACCTATGCAGCTATGTCTTTTTAGGTAAGCATAGCAAAATATGGTTGGCAAAGTTGGCAAAAATAAAGAACAGACGAAAAATCTGATGTGGTCAGCACATAACAACATGTATTTTCTAGTTAAGCGAAAATGATGCGTAAGATTATGAAAACGCCTTTTAAATACTTTTTTCAAATTTTACAGACACTAGTAAGCTTTTGGTTAACATACCCAGAAAAATGTGAGTTTGGCTCTTAGTAGACTTTCACTTTATTCCAGTCGAGTCCCTTCAAAGGTTCGCCAGTTAGTTTCGGTAACAACCAGAACTCAAATATTTAATTTCAAGAAATTGAATCAAATAGTTCCGTAGGTATGATAGAAAATATCAAATTGGCTTCTAGTTTGGTGTCCAAGCTCTGACATTTCCAAATAATTTTATAAATTCATTATTTGAATACCTTGAAGTCGTATATTAAGTCGTATTTTCAAGTCAATTGGTTGATTATTTTTATTTACATGCACAAAAAATGTATATTTGACCAGTAGTAAACGTCACCAGTTGCTGACACTCCGTGTCTTTCAAAAATTAGTTCAAATTAATTGATTTGAATACTTCCTTCAAAATTATCAAAAATGTAAAACCGATTCCTAAAAGGTCCAAATTGCGAGGCTTTACGTATCTCAAAAATCAATCAATCAGTATTATAGCCAAAATAAACTCACATATAAAATTTCATTAAACTCGGTTCAGCCGAATCTGAGATACAAACGTACACACACAGACCTACATCCCACTAAAAATAGTTTATTTAAACTTCTATCCAATGGCGAAGTGTGTTTTTACCGAAAACTCGATATGCGAAATTTGATGTGATCACATAACCTCCCTGTTGTATGCAATGCGGAACGTTTTTGAAAAATCGTGTTTAAAAACATACAAAATCATTTATAATTCTTTAAATTTCTTTGAAAACCCGTTTAATGTATTAGTTACACCTTTAAGTATTATCATACAAAAACTTATATTGAACTCTGTTAGCTTAATAATAAAATTTCAACTTTCAACTTAATATTGCAACTTTTCCATAAATTAAAAATAGTATTATATTGATTTTATTTCCAACACTTTTAGGCGTGTTAATCTGTTTCCTTACCTAAATAACTATATACACGTGGAATGAAACAGCTTATGGATGAAACTTAAACGTCAAACCCCAATCACACTTTTTTTGAAGAGAACTTATTTATAATGGAAGGCTTTATTTCAAATTTTTTCACCGTGAGCTTTTTCCATCCTGTTTTTTTATCCGATTACAAGGTTTTAAGAAATATCAATAATTTTTATATAAGCTCAAGACCTGAAATATGCAAGTGCCAAAAACTTTCCATAATAATCGCTGTAAGAAACATTTAATCCTGATATTTATCAAGTGAGGAGTTGATCTTTTGGAAATTTTCTGAGATCAACACTATAACAACCCGGATTTCAAAAACAAAAACCCGAAAAATATATTGACGGAAAAAACACTTCTTTTCGATTTTTATATATCTGCTCCGTGCAGAATACCAAAAACCTCAACGCCTACCAGACAATAGCACATGCATTTTTCGCAATTTTGCTATGAGTTTCCAAAAAGTTTAATAAAGAGTTTATTTTAAAATAATTTACTGAGAAAAAATTATTTTCAATGTGCTGCTTTACAAATAGTTAAAAAAAAGCTTTCAAGTTAGACCTATTGTAGGTACGAGTAAATAGAAAATTTATTTTTTCCTTTTATCATTCCACCTTTATTTAATATTCAAATGCGGTTTTTCATGCTGAATTTTTCCATGTTTAATGAAATAATTTTTTATTCATGTTTAATTTCAACTTTGTTCTAAAGAACTCATTGTTTCCAGTACTTAAAGAAATTTCAATATTTTTCAAAAGTGAATTTATAAATCAAAGCTCATTAAGAACAAAATTTGGTATATTTATTTTAGTATGTATGTATAGTTGTGTACACCAACAAATTTACCCAATAAATCATTTTATTTATACTAAAACACAAAATTCTCTCAGATTTCTCTACCTTATAAATCTTAACATACACACATAACGTAATATTTTTATAACATAAACTATTGCAATGCATTAAATTATAAAACTGAAAAATAAAGAGCGAACATGTTCTGTGTGGTGATTAAAAAAAAAATTAAAGATGTAGATTGTATTTTGGTGCCTTACCTATAGTTTTCATGTATAGTTACGGAATTTTCCTTTTATATACCGTAACCATATATTCCATAAGTTTTATCTCACATATTCATACATTCCACATTTTTGTGAAAGAGATTAAAGCATCATAAAGTATAAGAGCAAAAAAAAAGGAATAAAGAAATGGAAAAAATAGCGAAACTTCAGATAAATTTTGTTTTTGTTTTTCAGTTTTATTTACTTCTCTTAGATTGTGTATTCAATGTGAGATGGAAAGAGGTGAAATTGTTTTTTCATTTTGTTTTGCGAGAACAAAAAATAAACGAAAATTCGCGAATTATATTTTACTGTTTATGGAAGTTTTTGAGTATAAGAGGGATATTTTCAACCGTGTGATTTTATAGTATAATAAGCTAACACGCGCTTTATATGCTCTCAGAAAATATAAGAAATATTATTTTTTCTGTTTTATCTTTATTTTATAGTTCATACTCGTGAGGTAACTACGATATTCACAATCATGATAATGATGATGATTGATAATGTTACTTTTTTTTAATGATGATTGAATTGGTTTCTTATTATTGTTGTTATACTTATTCGTGATGATGATTTTATTAGTATATATTGATGTTGGTTATATTATTATTACGATTTCTGCTATAGAACTGCTGATGCTGCTGCTGCTGTTGTTATTATTATTTGTTCGTTATATTGTCTTTTCTGGGTACTTCTTTCTATTGCTCACACGATATAACAATATGCTGATGATAATGACGTTGATGATGGTGGTGATTTTATTTTATTTTTTTTTTTATTTTTTATCTTCTTTTATGATTGTATTTTTTTGTGTTAACCAATTCATTTTTGCTCCTTGAATGTAATTCTGATGGCACCGATAGTTTATCGCCAATATCCGTGCTGTTTAGACGCGATATAACAATTTATGCGATAATGTTATACGATTATTAAAATAAATTAAGAGGCAAAAAAAAAAATAATATATTTTATATAAAATTTTAGCTACGCTATACGATATTCAAAATGAAAAGTGATTTGTTTTGATATTTTTTCGATTTCCTCATTTTTTTTTGTGTTTTATATAGAAATGATGCGCGCGTGTACATACATAAATATCATATTTATAAAATTATCAACATATAAATATATAAAATAAAAATATATAAAATAGCTTCTTAATTTTTGTATACATTCATATCTAATTTATTTTTTGTATACAACGAAAGAATGAATTTTTTAAAATAAATCACAATATTTTTTTAGTGTTTTTAATTTTTCTCCGACATTACCTTTCCCGAAATTAAAATTTGTTACATTTGTTTTGATTTTATAATTTTTAGTGATTTACGAAAAAGTATTTTTATGGTGTATGTGTGTATGAATATAAAAAGAAAAACAAACAAAAATGGTGAAGAATCGCGACGGTAAAACGCGTGTGCAAAAATAATATTTCACTGAGCATAAATATTCCTTTTTTTTATTATTCTATTTGCTTTCTCTCTATTTGTGTATTATAAGATCTTTTCTATATAATATATTTTCTATAGAAAAAGGAGGATACCATAATATGTTTTAATTTAAAATTGAAAATTAGAGAAATGTATATGTATAAAAATAGAGTGAAAAGTATCCTTTTTATATACTGATATATTAAACTTTAATACATAAAATATTACTGCTATGCACATCTCTACAGAATTTCTATATTATATGTGATGACAGTAAAACAAAGTATTTATTTTCATCCCTTTTGTTATTTATCGGTATATTTATAAAGGATTCTCTCTATAATAATATGTAGAATTGTGATTTTCTGTAAAATATAAAGTGAAAAAAGGATATATGAAAATCTATGTGAAAATAAAAGGAATTTATAAATTATATAAATAATTTTTAAACGAAAATTAGAAAAAAAATTATATTATTTTGTGATTAACTAAAATACAAGAAATAATAATTTAAAAATTTATCGATAATTTTTGAAAAAAAAACCAAAAAAAAAAATGCATTAAAATTTAAATAAAAAGTTTTCCAATCAAAAAAGAAAAAATCAATTTATAAACTAAAAATTTAATAATTTGTTGTAAAGAAAAGAATAAAAAAAGGTTACTTTATTAATTTATTGGTTAAAATCATGGATCATCATGGTGGTGGTTTTGCTACATCACCATGGGCTGCAGCAGTATTAGGACATCATGCTATGGCGGCAACTGGATCTGCTGAACATACAAATTTTGTTGCAGCAGCAGCTGCGCATGTTCATCATAGTAGTGTTGCAGCAGCAGCTGCTGTACATCATCATTCACATCATTCACATCATCATCATCATCATCATCATGCACTAAATCATGGTATGCCAATGGATTTACATGTACCACAAGGATTTCCATATTATAGGTAAAAAAAATATGGAAATTATATATAAACATGTTATATACATATTTTATATAATATATACATATATATTTTGTGAACAAAATTTATATATTCTTTTATCCTAATAGTGTATAGATAAAATATTTAAAAACGTGACGAATATAGTAATAGATGAAAACATAGTGAAAATTATGAAATTTTTAGATAAAAAATAAGTTGTGTATGGCAACAAGGTTTTTGTTTTTCAACTCGAAAAAAACATTTCTTAAAATTGAATATGCTTTTTATAAGAACAGTTTTACTTTTATTAAAAAGGTACTTAAATTAAATAATTAATTGAAAATTATGTTGTATAAATGAATTTGTTTTAATCACAATAAGATTAAAACCAGGTTTTTTGATTTTTAACTTTATTTGTTCATTACTGCATACTATTATAAATTCTATGCGATTGTAAACAGAATACAATCTTATACCTGCTGAAATTTAAATATTACTTAAAGTAGAGATAAAAAATGTGCAACATTTCTCTTAAACTATGCATTAAAATATCTTAATATCAAAAATTAACTTGCTAACATTGAAGTTTTCTATTACATTAAGAAAAATTTTAAGTTATTTAGCAAAGGTCTCAAAATTTTGGTTTTGGATATGAAATTGTTTCTAAATATTAATGTGTTGCTTTTTTATATACATTATAAAATAGGCTGATAAATTAAATTTGAAAAAATTGCATATTTCGCGGAAAATTTTAGTCGGAATATCTTCTTACTATAATAGTATGCATCTTCTTACATATTTCATCTTATATTTATACTCAAATTCATTTTTAATGCAAAATTGTTATTGAATATTTTTATTTAAACCTATCTACCTTGAGAAGCCATTTTAATCTTAATAGAAACCTTAAGAATTTAACAAATAAAATAGCAATAATAAAGATGTAAAAAAATTAGCACTCTAAAAGAAATAGCAAAACTAATAGGGAAAAATTAAACGATGAATTAATATAGGTGTATACTATGCTTAATATTAGCATAGTTTTGATAACTAGTTACTGAATTTCACTTTAAGTAAGTTTAATTAATTTTTTTCTTTTCTATCGAACCCTTTCTCCACATATCCACAATTTAATCATTTCCGATAAAATAAAAAATTGAAATTCAAAAACAAATTTATTATTTTAAATTCTATCCTCTTACTGTCCTCCGTTCGACGGAGTATAAATCAAAGGTTCTTATGACATTTTCTCATCATTGAGATTTTTGTTATATTATTGTACCAGTTACATTTGAAAGGAGTTGTAATTGAGTTATGAATAGAATTGAGTCATAAATATTTTCATTGAAGGAGCAGCCCATGTTTTGCTTTTTATAAACCTTTGGACATCCAGGAAGGAATTAGAAATTAAAGTTAAACTTACACTATTTTATCAAGTTAAGTCATGTAGTACAAAAAATCTGATGTGATCAGCAAATAACCGACACATTGCATGTATTAAGTGAAAGTGTTACAGAATATTATAAAAATGCCTGCTAATTACCTCTTTCCAATTTTTAGGACATTAGTAAGCTTATAGTTAACATACCTAGAAAAATGTAAATTTAGCTCTTAGTAGAATTTCATTTTGTGCTACCAGAATTCCCTGAAATGCTCACCAGTTAGTTTCCGTAACAACCAGAACTCAAATATCAAATTTCAAGAAATTCCATCAATTCGTTCCGTAGATATGATAAAAAATGTAAAATCGGCCCGCAGATCAGTTTTCGACCCCTAATCTTTCCAAAAAAATTATATTTTCATTGTTTTAGTACGAAGAATTTAAATATTAAATTTCAATGAAATCGGTTGCTTATTTCTCTTTATATACGCAAAAATGTATATTTGGCCCGTAGTAAACGTCCAGTTGCTGACGCCTGATTTCTCCCGAAAGTTAGGAGGTTTGCCGGACGGTCGAGCAAATTCATATATGAAATTTCAAGTAATTCGGTTGAATATTTTCTTCAAAATGGTGAAAAATGTAAAATCGGGCCGCTAAAGAGTGCAGCTCCCGAGGCCTGATATATCCCAAAAGTTGATCAATCCGTGCCATATTAGAAATAAACTTACATATAAAATTTCATCCAAATCGGTTTAGCCGAACTTGAGATACACGCGTTCACGCATAGACCGACAAACCGACAGGTTGCTAAAAATAGTTTACTTACACTTCCCTATTATGGAGAAGTGCATTCCCACCGAAAACTCGATACGCAAAATTTGTTGCCATCACATAACCTTCTTATTGTATGCACAATGCGGTCGATAAAAAAACATGTTAATTAAAACAAAAAGCCAGTAAAGTTTCAGGAAGTGTACTTTTACTTTAAATTTGTATAATAAAACACAAAACTTGTGGCAAGTTGTAACTGAAATTGTTGAGTTTTAATTCACTGAACCAAAAAACTTACGTAAAATTGACGAAGTGAGCTTGGGTATTAATTTTTGTATGGAGTTTTAAAACTTAGATAAAATCACCTAAGATCTAAGTGACCTAATCTTAGGTAATATGCCTAAGTTTGCTTAGGTATTTTTTTTTATATGGAAACTAAAATCTTCTGTAAAATCACCTAAGTTATTGGTTAACTTAGTTAACAAAGTCTACGGTAATATACCTAAGTGCACTTAGGTGTTTCACTATTTCAAAAAAATAAAAATTTTGTTGGTAAAAACAACTAAGAAATTGGAAAATTACCTAAGTTCTTTTGTAAACCAGCAAAAAAAAATTCAAAAAACAAAAATTTCTTTTGTAAAATTTTTTATGACAAAATTTTTACTTATCTGCCTAAGAACTATGGTATTTTATCTAAGATTTTAGTTGTTTTATTACCTAAGTTCTTGATTCAATTTTTTAAAAATGCACGAACTATGTTATTTACGACCGTAAATACATTTTATTACGGCTCATCTAAGTTCTAAGGTAATTTAACTAAGCTTCTTAGTCAATTATCGAACGTAAAAGTTAACTGTAAAATTAAAAGTTTCCTAAAAACATTTTTTAAAACTTGATTATATACTTAAAGTATGATGCTAATAAAACATAAAATTAGCATGGCGACAGAATACCGGTAAAAATATTTATGTTCAACAAAGTTTTAGTTAAAACACCTAAGAACTAAGGTATTATTAATAAACCTGCTAATAGTTTTAATTGTATTTGTTGAAATAAAGTTGTAGTTTGCCTAAGTTATTGGCTAATTTAACAAAGCTTCGTAGTCAATTATCGAACACAAAAGCTAACTGTAAAATTAAGTCTCCTAAAAACCTACTTAAAAATTTGATTATACACATAAACATTAATGCTAATAAAACATAAAATTAGCATGGCGACAGAATGCCGGCAAAAATATTTATGTTCAACAAAGTTTTAGTTAAAACACCTAAGAACTAAGTTATTATTAATAACCCTGCTAATATTTTTAATTGTGTTTGTTAAAATAAAGTTGTAGTTTGCCTAAGTTATTGGTTAATTCAACTGAGCCACATACATATATATAGCCACATATATAAATAGAATTTTGCCTATGTGTATGTAAAAAACATTTTTTCAAAAAAAAGCACACAGTGGAGATTTTTAACAAATTGAACATAGAAGTTTTTCAGTACATATATACACAGTCGTTCATAGAAAAATTTGTGCAAAACTATTTTTTTAAAAAATTACTACTCAATTCTTATTGCTATTATTTTCATTATTATTTTATTATACGCAATTTAGTTTTATTATTTTCCAAGATTTTGGTTTAAATTCGGTTTATTTAAAACCAAAACCTATTTGAGGTTCTAAAAATTTATATGTTAATTAAATATATATTTAAATTTATACGTAGAAAACTCGGGTATTGCTAAAACATTCAAATTTTAAATTTTTGAAAAAAGTTATTGACTTTGTTGCTAATTAATATTAACTTCCTAAAATATTTTTAAAGAGAATATGTGAGAAAAAAATTTGCTGCACAGAAAATAAATCATGACGTAATGACTAATTAATAAATATTACAGGTTGATTATTACATTTTTATATTTTTTTCATTACTTTCACTGGTTTGTTTTAGAAATATTAATAAGCCCCAAACTTCATCTGCAGTGCCATCATACCCCATATACGGTTTTTAATAATGTGTTGTATTTATATCTAGAATATTTTAAAATTAAGATAAAACCAAAATTTAATTGAGAAACAATTAATATTAAATTAATAAATAATGTATTAATACTAAAAAAAAATTATTAAACTTCTTTCAAATGCTAGAAGCACGTGGTTTGAACTTTTACAAATAAAGTTTAAGTTTCTATACAAACATTAGACTTATTTCAATTGAGAAAATAAAAAAAGTTTTACAAATTTAATTTTTTGTTACAGATGAAGTAAGTTGTTATTGAAAAAAATGTTAAGACATTTTTTATACACTGTTTTTATACATTTGGGTCTAATTGTTTCTTTTTTAACATTTTATTGTATTTTGCAATAAAACGTTTATAATTTAAACGTTTCGAATATATTAGAGTAGTACATAATATACATATTTTTAAAAATTTGCTATTTATCATATAAGTATACATTAATACAAATCATGCATCGAGTAATGAGCATTCTTAATTATACTTCTACAAAACAAGGAATAATTATATAAATATATTATAAACAATAAATATGACTTTATTCTTATTTTTTTTGTAACTATTGGGATTAATCCTAATAACTAACTAATAGAATTTAATAATAACATTAAAATGAAAAAAACGAAAACATTATCATGAAAATAATGAGTTTTCATTATTGTGTTTATTTGTCAAAATTTATTAAGCTTAATTTAGGTATTGGTCTATAATTTTCGGAACATCTGTAGATGCTGTGCGAAAAAATTTTATTTAAGTATAACATTAAACAGAGCACCATGTAGTAAAGCACTACAAAATTGATATATTACATTAACTGCTACTATATAACATAAACGATAACCCATATACAAATAAAAGCGTGAAAAAGTAACTGTAAAATCATCCGATACACAAATACAGAAATAATTAAAAACCAGAATTGGCCTAAGTTCTTCGTTAAATTGCTTTAAAATCTTACAAATGACATTAAAATTTAACCTAGTTCTTAGGTAATTTAAGCCGCCACTTTTTACACATATGCATTCGTATTTATGCGTGTATATGAAATTATAGGAGATCTAAATCAGTACTTAATTTGCATTTGCTGGTGACGCGTCGTTAACACTTATAAGTAATTTTTAAATATTTTAAAGTTTTAAAGTTGTTGTAAAAGTGCCGTTTTTTATAAAAATTAAAAAGAAAGTGTTTGATTTTGTGTGAAAAACATATTTGATTTTTTGCAATTTTAATTTAAAGTTTTCGTCAATAAAGGTGTTAAGAAGGTAAATATTTAGTGAATAGAAGTAATTTTTTAAACATTTACAGTTTCAATTTAATTTCAAGTTAATCTGAATTAAGGTAAAAGCTTCATATTGATTGCATTTGCTCAAATGTGCAATTTAAGAACCAATTATGATTTCCTACTTATACAAAATTGAAATATTTCAATTGTAGGTTACTTCCATAAGTACAAATTTGAATACAAAAATTAATTAACATTGTGAAAGTTATTTTTCTAATAAATAATTCAGTTTATTGATTAATTATTATTAGATTTATTGATTAATTATTATTAAGAATTAGATTGTATTCGTAATCTCCTAATGAAATATTTCAATTTAGTACAAAGAGAAATTCTTAATTTATTGGCGCGTGCATTTATATACATATAATTTTTCTATGCATTTATTACGTACATATGTATGTACATACACGAGTTTTGAAGTTTAATGTATAATTATGTAAGTAGGTGCATACATATGCATACCTTGTTTATACTTAAATGTGTAAATCTTCTAAAAATTAAAAAAGAAATTTTGGAAATGATTTTTTAATTTTTTTTTGTAAAAAAAAACTTTCAGTGTGAATATACCAAAAAAATTAATTATTTCATTGTCATCAAACCTTTAGGAATAAAAGAAGCAAATGAATTAAATATACAACATTGAATATACACATATTCGAGAATTAAGTATTAAAGTTCAATTCTACAAAATTCAATAAATGAAAACCTTCTCTGATTCAATTTTTTTACGTTTATACTTCAAACTAAATTATTTGTTCACAATTGGGTGTTTAAGTGAGTTTGTTTTTTCAAATAGGAAACATACTGAAGACTTAATTGGGATAGCTTTTGAAAAAATTAATTTCTAATTTTAAAGTTTAACTAAAAGATTTGCTTCATCTAAACTAAAATTTCGTGATAAATAAATATCATAAACTAGTATCGTTTAAATATATATTTTAAAATTTTTTTTTGTTTCTAAAACACAAATTGTTTGTTATACATGTGCATGTATATTTCATGCAAGAAGCAAAAATGACAACATTTTGTTTAAATATTATATAATATGTACATACATATACATTGAAATAAAAACGTAGATAAAACTTTTTGCAGAAAAAAATGATATGCTTTATATGCAAAAAAAAATTGGAATCAATCGCTGTTTTGATGGCTCATCTAAAAGTTCTTCATGGTTGCAATAGATTAACCACTTATACTTGCCCAAATGAAAATTGTACTCAACGATTTCAAAACGTGTCCTCCTATAAAAGACATTTAATTAGAGCGCATTCAAAAACAATAAGAAGAGAGAAAGTAGTAAACAAAATAGAAAGCCTAAATTGTGCTCAAAAATTTTGTATTTCCAATACAGAAAAAAATGATTTATCAACTAAAGAAGATTCCGAATTAAATGAAGCTTATCCTAAAACAAATGAAGGTCATCCAGAACTTAGTGAATTTCATTCTGAATTAAATGAAGTTCATACCACTACTTGCAATATTTTTGACATTAAAATTTTTAAATTGGAATATTTAAACAAGCTAACTGAATTCACACTCTTATTACATAACAATAATAATTTTACTAGAAAAGACGTTATTGATTTACAAAATAGCATAACAAAATTCCTTATCCATCCTCTTTTAAATGGGTTAGAAAAATTATTAGTAAATTTTTGCAACAGCGATTCTAACAGGATACAAAATTTTGTAACCGCCTTTAAAAATCCTTTTGAGGAAATTATGTCTGAATATAAATTTTTACAGCATTTAAAAAAAACTGGTTTGTACATGCCTCCCGTAAACTTTGATATTGACAGAACCATTACATATTTAAAAAAAAGTGGAAAAACTTTGTTAGCAGAAAAGGTTGATACTGGTGTCTTAATGCCGCTGGATTTTCAATTTAAACAAATATTTGAAAGGGAGGAAATTTTAAAAAGAGCTATAAAAAAATTAGATGAATTTGATACGAAATGTCAAAAAATACATAATTTCGCACAAGGTAGACTTTGGCAAGAAAAAAAAAAATTATATAGTGATAAAACAACTGTTCCATATTTTCTATACATTGACGATTTTGAAATAAATAATCCACTGGGTTCACATAGTGGTAATCAAGCCATAACTGCCATTTACTTTTCTTTTCCAACGTTAGAATGTTTTTCGAAACTGAATGATATATATTTAGCTGCTCTTATAAAAGCAAAAGATATAAAAAAATTTGGAAATGATTTAACAATTAACTCATTGATTGAAAAATTAATATCATTGGAATTGAACGGCTTAAATTTAACTTTGGACAACAAAAAAGAAACAATTCATTTTATTTTGGGTTTAGTTCTAGGCGATAACTTGGGGCTTAACCAAGTTTTGGAATTAAGTAAATCTTTTTCAGCTACTAATTTTTGTCGGTTTTGTGTTGATAATAAGGATATTACAAAAGTATTGGCAGAAGAAAATATGTTAACTCTAAGAAATGAAAAAAATTACAATGAAAGTTTAACGGATAATCCCGATGTTTTCAATGGAGTTTTAAAGAATTCCTTGCTGAATACTATTCCATCTTTTCATGTCACACGAAACTTTGCTGTTGATTTAATGCATGACATTTTTGAAGGTGTAGCGCACTATAATCTTGCCCATATTTTGGACTATTATATTAAGAAAAAGTTTTTTGCTTTAGAAGATTTTAATGAAATAAAAAACAAGTTTTCGTTTGGAGATACAGAAATTGCTTGTACTTTTAAAGATATTTCATTTGCAAATATTAAAAAGAAGAAATTTAATCTTTCAGCCAGAGAAATGTGGTGTCTGATACATCATTTTCCTCTCATGGTAGCCCATTTAATTCCTGCAAACGATGAAGTTTGGATCTTCCTATGCACTTTTGTTTCATTAATTGATAGCTTACTAATGCCAAGTTTTGATGAACATGATCTTGAAAAACTTCAAAAATTAATCAAATTTCATAATACACAATATGTAAGGTTATTCGGAGACGATTTGAAGCCAAAACATCATCTTTTAATTCACTATCCCAGGATAATTCAGTATTCCGGCCCACCAAAATTTTTTTGGTCTTTTAGATATGAAGGAAAGCATAGAGAGCTAAAATCGTACGCTAAAGTCATTACGAGCAGAAAAAATGTACTATTATCTATTGCGACGAAATTTCAAATAAAGTTCGCCTATCAATTCTTGAAAAAAGATGAATCAGATGTGTTAATCTACCTCGAAATACATAAATGTATTTGTAAAAGTCCAGATTTACTTCCAAATAAATTAAAAATTTTACATTGTAATGTTGTATATTTCAAACAAGTTATATATAATGGAATATTATATAAAAAAGGACACTTTTTATCTATTACAAAAAATTCCTGTACAATAATCTACGAAATAGAAGAGTGTGCAATTGTTTTTGAAAAAAATTTGTATATAACGTGCCGTAAAAAATCATCAAACTTTTTAGATCATTATGTTTCTTTTGAAATTATAAGTGAAGATGAACATTTTTTGGAGATTTTACATATAAATGCTTTTGACGGTCCACCTGTAAATTCACATTTGCTTCCGAACAGCAAATTATTAATAAGGCCAAAAAGATATTTTTAATTTTAACGAAAAACAAATTCTTTGTAGCTTAAATGGAATATGGATGTAAATGTAAACAACGATGGAAAATTTCTTAATCCTACCTATGTCACATTGGAAAACTCAGATTTGATATCTAGTTCCAGTTCTGAAAATGCAAATAAAACTTCTGACCAAGCTGAAATTTTTTCGGCAACAAATGATCCACTTGCTGATTTATTAAGAAAATGGAACTTATTTGACGATCTTTATGAAGTCTTGAAATGTAAGCTTAAACTCAATTTATTTAAAATATTTTGTTTTTAATTAAGAGTTTGTTTTAGCAAAAAGAGTTACCCTGGAAGTACTAATGTATATGAAAGAAAGGCATGTAGATGAAATTTTTAGTGGGCAAAACTTCGACATTAAAATTATATTTGAACATAAACTTGGGGATTGGCAAAATGAATGTGTAAGTATTAAGAAGAAAGTATAAAACAAAACTTTAAGTAAAATAGTCGCACTTCATACATTTTGCCATGTGACATAATATTACTATTTTTTAAAAACTACTTTCGTAAAACTTCTACACATTTATTATATTGAAGGGAATATATAATTTGAAACCCCAATCATGGCCCGGAGCTTCTAAAAATGTTAATTCTCCGATTCATCAGTGGCTTGCTAATATTGGAGAAAAAACACCGTCTTCGACCTGCAGTCACTACTCAGAAGTAAGTACAAAAGTTTTTTCAATATTTTTTTTATAACATTACAAACACACATCAAAATTTCATCTCAATTCAATTTGTCATGTAATTGTTCCGTGTTATTATCTTATATATAACATTACCTTATATGTCAGATAATAACATAGTATTATCGACATATCATTTTGGACACATGACATATCTTACATTAGAATTATTTATTATATATTTTACATATATTACAAAATTAAAGACAATTATTCTTTCAGGCCAACGTTTCACGTACTGCTTCACGATGCTTAAATGTTTTTCAAATGAAGTGTTAAATATCAAAATATTGAAATTCGTCTGCTCGAAAATTTAAATTAATATAAAAAACTAATAAATTTAACTTTTCGTGTGGCATATTCTTTAAATGGTAGTACTTATTTCAGCATATAAATTATCTGAAATGTGTGCTGCCATTCGAATTTTGTTAACTTTACTAATATTTTTGAAATAAATTTTTAAATTAACAGACGTTTAGCGTGTTGAGTATTTTGGAAAAAGTTGAGCAAAGTAAATCCTTGTTAAAGAAGTATGAGGAAACACAAAAACTAACACCCGATGATAGAACTTGGATCGTGCATCACATTATACAGCATGTGGTAGAAAATGAGAAGAAAATAACCGTTAATCAATGTAAGGATTTGGCGGAACAGATTATTAATATTTTCCCAACTGAAAGTGTGGTAATTAGCGAAAAACTTTCAAAATATTTTTTTCCATTTGTGCCTTCAAATATTTTACTTGTTGGAAATAGGTTACTTACTTTAGTCAAGATAATAAAAAAAATCCGCCGAAAGGAAAATTATGGGATCGTTATCAAAATAGGCAACGCTTACTCAAAAAAACTGTGAACCAAAACCGAAAACGAAAACTTGCTGAAGATTTCGAAAATATAAATCCTAGTGAAACGAGTGCTGACTTTGAGGAACTCAAAAGAATTTCGGCTGAATTAAAATATATTAGGGATTGGGAGCAAGTGCTAAAAAAATGGAACCAAACAATTTTGTATAGGAAAAAAAAATTGGACGAAAATAATATGACTCTACAGGAAATTTTAAAAGATTGGCCATTATTCAAATGCTCAAGAGCTCCTGAACTGGTATGTTTTTTATTTTAATAATAATGAGAAGAATAAAGTGTTAATTAATTTTATAAAATTTAAATAATCTCAGGTAAATATCGATTATATGTTTTCGTATCCAGAAAACAATTTCAATTTTTCGAAATGGGAAAAATTTTGCGAAGTTGCAGAGAAAATTTTTTCTGAGAGGGTTAAAGATATAAAATGCAAGGGTTTCCTTAAAAAAACCATTGAAAAAAAACATTCTCTTAGCTCAGGTAAGATATCTAAATTTTTGAAATATCCTTTTCCTAATATGCACTTAACTCAAGTATTTATGTATATAATTTTAGATAACTTAAACATATGTTTCATGAGATTACTACACGCAATTTTAATTCCTCACACTAAGGTTTTTCAAGGGTCCTTTATAAAATATACAATTAAAGATTCTCAAGAATCTTTCACCATGCCTGTATCTCAAGCAAGTGATGTAGATAAAATTATTGCAGAAAAAAGAACAAATTGCATAAAAGAAAAATCAACATTGCAGCCTTTTATAGTTATAGTCGGAAAAGAATTCGAATATAACATGTTCTACGTTTGCTTAGATGACATTAAATTTGCTTTTGAGTCATACGTCGAAACGATACAATTTTGCTTTAAGTTAATGTACACGCTGAATTTAAAATATCCAAATGAAAGCGTTTCATTTTGGACTTTCATACAGAAATTCCTTTTTGATATTCAAACGCAAACAGTAGCAATTCCTATAGTGGATACATTTATAAAAGATTTGAATGATCTTATTTAAATATGTAAGTTTTCTCTAATATTTTCTATGTCTAAAGTTTATTTTGTATTCTAATATTTCAGTTGTTATGAAGTTGTAAGACGATAAATAAAACAATTTTATCTATTCTTTAAATTTAAACATTTTTTTATTTTTTTAACATCATTAAAATATAAACGAAATATTAATTAACGTAATTAAAATTAAACGTTAATTAAAATTGTGTTATTTTTCATTTAATCCTATACCAGCTGAAATACAAGAATACTTAAAATAAAATTTATTAAAAGTAGTAAGCAAGAATTCATAAAAGTTATTCTAGTTTTTTTTTAATTTTCATGTAAAACTATTACAATATGTCGTAATGTTAGAAAATGTGTTTTCGGTTAAGAGTTGCAAACTTATACTAAAATATGTAATAATTAAAAACAAAAATAAATTCTTAAGAAAAGATACATTTACATTATATTCCATTTTCTTTATTTGAAAATTTTAAATTAAGCTTATTGCAGAATTTATAAAAAGCACTTGTGTAAATTTATTACAATATATATATGTGTGTATAATATAAAAGATAGATTTTGTGCACATTTTTAATAAACCTCCACGAAGAATTCAATGTAATTGCATAGCCAACACTAAAAAATTAATTAAAAAATGATTAAAGAAAAGATTTTTTTAGTAAACGGTAAAAATGTCATTTTAATATTTCTAATTTAAATGTCAGCAAACAAAGTAATTATTTGTACTTATTTTCCCAATAATGGGGAAAAGTAAAACTTTTTATGTTTTTTTCGAATTTTAAAGTGTATAAAGAATTTTTAAAGACAAATGTTGCATTTTTTAATTATAATTTTGCTTTAGTTTTAATTTATAAGTTGTAAATCACTAAAAAACTTGTAAAACTAATCAGGAACATATAAAATAAAAGTTTTATTTAATGAATTTGAAAAACAGAAATATTTGTTTTTGAATTAAATAATAAAATATCCTTGTACAAATATCAAGAAATTAGTTGAAATAGATACGTGAAAATGAACAATATTAATATAGTTAATTCATATAAAAATGAATTATAATTCATTTATAAATTATTTTAAAATATTTATAGTTAATTTATGGGAAACATTTTAATGGTAAATATTTATAATTATATTTCATTATTTTTCAACTTAGGTATACTTTGAGAAAGTTACCTAAGAAGAAGGTAATATTTTACCAAAGATTAGTGTTTTAGTTGCCTAAGAAAATAGCTACTTTTTACCTAAGTCTTTTAATTAAATTACCTAAGAAAAAAGTTATTTTTCATCAAAGTCTTTTAGTTAAATTACCTAAGAAAAAAGTTATTTTTCACCAAAGTCTTTTAGTTAAATTACCTAAGAAAATAGGTAATATCCTACCAAAGAAATTTAGTTGATTTGCCAAAGAAAATGGTTAATAATTTACCTTTGTTCCTTAGGTGAATTATCAAAGTTCAAAGTTGAATTTTATCGAAGTTTTTAGACAAAATTGACATAGACTAAGTTAATTTTTACCTTAAGCTAAGGCAACAATTACCTAAGAACTTCGGTACATACGTCATCATTTTTGTGACGTAAGCAAATATCACCTAAGTTTAAGTTAAAAAACTTAGGTAAATTTTTTGCAGCCTAAGACTTAGGTAATTATCTTAGGTGATATAACAAAGTTTTATTTTCAATTTCAACAAAGAAACTAAGTAAGAATAACATATAACTTAGTTAAATTTTGGATTTTTTTTTTTACCTAAGTTTCTTGGCTATATTACACAAGATATAAGTTGGCTCATTTCGACCTAAGTTCTTAGGTATGTTATACTCGATTCTTAGGTGATTTTACGTAAGTTTTTCGTTCAGTGTTAATTTCTAAAATTTTAAAGTTTAAATCCTAAACTTTAGTTATGTCTAAAGTTTCATTCTAGACATATGCTTTAACTAAAAGCAAATTAAAATTTTGTTCAAAAATCAAAAATTATGTTCAATTATCAAAAATCATTAAAAATAAGTTTCAGTAATTTTAAGTTCCTCTGTAAGGAACTTTTTGTTCTTTTTATAAGATCTTAATGTTTTTATAATTTCCCTATATTACTTACATACCTAATTTCCAAACTTTATTTTTCTCATGTTATTTCTTCCACGTACTTTAATTCACAATAGACCAGCCTACCTCTACATACGTTAATTTCGAAAAGCACAAAACATTAAGTTGTAAGCAGAAAAACCTAATTTTATATAACAGTTTGATTGTTAAGGTTTTTGTTTTGTATATCTCATTTAACTTTGCATTGAATGAAAAGATGAAGTTACCAAATATTTATGGAAAAGACACTTTCATACAATGAGTTCTAAAAATGTATACTTGTTTTCAAAATTTGTTTTTCAGTTTTCATTCATTCACATTTGAATATAAAACATTTTTTAGTATCCTGCCTTTTAAGAAAAACTTTTGACAACATATTTTGTCAAAAATAACAAATATATAGTGTAAAATTTGCAGTCAACAAATCACAAAATATGTTGTGAAGGCACAAATATCAAAAAACTTAAATTGACTAATTTTGGCCAAGACAATGTTCTGTCCGTCCATTTTTTGTCTCAATTTTCGCTAAACCGATCATCGAAAATCAGTGGTTGGTAAAGAAAAAGAAAAAGTTGTTCATATAAATGAAACAAGTGAAAAATGTTTCGTAACTATTGCATAGTTTTAGGGATGATAGCATAAATCCAAAAACTCGTCAGTAAAATCAGTTTGCATATGAAGCTATTTACATATGATTTGAAGGAACGTTTATATATGATTTTGGTTGGGAATGCCCTTAGATCTTTTTTCATAGATATCCACAAAGGCTTATACATTTTGTTTAGGGAAAATATCGAGTTTGAAAAAAATTTTGCTAATTTAGGCGAAAAGAAAAAAACTTTTGTTTCAACAAAAATAAATCGTATATTTATTTCTATAAGTGTTGAATTTTTATTCCTCCACACAACTTAGCGTCTAAAAGTAAATATTATGCTAAAATTTTAGAATCATTTTGTCTAATTATGATTTATCTGTGACATTTTATATTAAAACAAGCCACTATTCTCGTTCTCCATGGAAAACGTCTAGCGCAGGAAAACAATTTTCAGACTGTAAGATATTATTGCTTTAAAATAAAGCTGATAGAAAAAAAAATGTCCTTTAGAGAGAAATAGCTTTATTAACAAATAAATTTCAACCATAAGATGTATTCGGGTATTAAAATACTACTTTTTGTATTCGAAATAGTAGAAATTTTCCAAACGCAAGCAAGAAAATACGTATAAAGAAACAAAGTGTATTTAATATGTAAAAGTTTGTTTCAGTTTTATTAAAACTGTTTAACAATTTAAATTATGTAAGATAATTGTGCTTCTTTAAAAATCGTTTCTTTATCGTATAGAAATTAGAACCTCGATAGAACCATATCCTTTTTCGGTTAAAAATTTATGAAGTTTACAATCCTGTTATCGTAATATGTATATTATATTACCATAACATTAGCTATATATATTGCATAAATATGTGACATAAGTTGTTATTGATCGATTTATCCGAAACAGGAACTACACTAACAGTAATTTTATGATTAAATGAGCAAAGGTTTTTTTTTCGAACAGTATTGTGTATGATAAATTTTCTCTCTTTATACCACAGAAATAAAATAAAAAGAATAATAAAAATTTTAAAGAAATTTATAATTAATTTAATTCAATTTTATTTATTTATTTTTTGTTTTCTTTTTCTTTTGAATTAGAATTAGCTGTAGAGTACTCTTATATTTAATATTATAAATATTACACAAGAAAAAATAATATAAAACAAAAAATAAAATAAATTAAACTGAAAAGGTATAACACATTCTTCATAAGTATAGGAGAAAAACGCACACGAATTGAAATATTTTTCCAATTCCCATAAAAGGAAAAATTGCGAATAGCGCGCTCTCTGTGTACAAAAATAAAAAACACAAAAACTATAATAATTCAATTTTTCAATTTTCCTTTATTTTTCTCAGTACAATATTTTTAAAATTTAATTTTAGATGTTGCTTTTTTTTAATTTTTTTTGTACTTTTATTATTTAATTGAATAGAAAATAATAAAATAAAATATAAAATTATATATTTTTTTTTCCTTTTTCAATTTTTTTGTTTTTCTTGTGTTTTATTAATATCGAACCGACAATACTAATTTAAAACAATTTATTTTCAAACGTGCGCGAAATTAAATTTTCTTGATTTTGACTTTTTTTTTCGTACTTTTATTTTGATTTCCCAGCGTTTTAATTCTGTTTTTTTTTCGCAAAAAAAAAAACAAAATAAAACATTGTACAAGTAGTTTGTACACAGAGCGAACAAATTATATCTACTTACATATTAATGCATATGTATACATGTACAAACATTCATAACATACAAACATATACTCTTAAAGGTTATCCCATGTGAAGTTTTCAATTCTGTATTATAAAAAAAAATTAAATTTATTGTAATTGGTCCCCGTCAACATAGATTTTGGATTTATATTGGATTATAATAATTTCCAAAACATCAAAGCTATAGTATAAGAATATAAGAACAGTAAACCCCACTACACAGTCCAATTACGTTATGAGCTTTCACACTTATGTACCTATAAATATTCTTCTCCGCAGTCACTTTTATTTTATGCAATCATTCTGAATTTTTGATTATCATTATTTAAAAGATTACATAAGATTTGTACAATTGAGGGCTTTATATATAAATATCTTTAGATTTTATTGTAAATATTATTTTGATTTATATCATATTTTTGCACCAGGTAGGTACGCGAACCTATGAATATTTTTTATTCGTTGTGTATTGAAGGCAAAATGGGGGAGAATAAAATGTGATTTTTAATGGTTTACAGATTAAAGTCAACAACAACTTATTGGTTTGTTTATATTTTTTCATTTTGTGT